GAAGCATACCAGATAAGAGGGATTTGAGAAGATACAACCTTTATAGAGTATTGAGAACAGAGATTTTCCCCACAGCAATATAACCAGAAAGGAACATTATCTTTGCTTTGCTCAATGGATTTTTATAAAACCCTTGCTTCTCTAAAAGGCTGCAAATATGGAAAGCAATGAAGAAACAAGTTACATATAACTTGCTAATGAAATTTTCCCAACAGATAACCTGATAGGCTTACAAAATTAATTATCAATGCTGGACAATCAAACTTAATAAAGCGAAAGCCACTTCACTTTTCTCCAAGGGAGTAAAAAAACATATTCAGGCAGAGAAACTTTACAAATAGAAGATACCATGTGAAGGTCTATCAGCAATTTTTTCAAGGATAAATGTGTAGGTGGAAATGTTTGAAGAAGAGAATTCATTATCCAGTTCCTCCAAGTTACTACCTCTAAAAAAATGGAGCAAAAGAATAATATGTACACTTTAGTAAGATGGGTTGACTCTCAGAGTTTTCCCCATTAAATGCTAAATTCACCCAGGCTACACAAACTGATAACCTCTGATAAAATGTAAGTACTTAATTTTAAAGTGTGTTAGATATTCTTTAAGAAGATATCTGAGTTAAACCTAATCAGTTGCTTTATGTGGGCTGTGTTGAAAAGCAAGTGAACATAGAATGATTTTGTAGTGATTATAATCTGCATGGGATTAAAATTATTTTATTGGGCTCCTCTGCATAGGTGTAGACAGCTCCTGACATTACTGGGAAGGAGCCCAGAATGTGCAAAGGAGATGAGAATCTGGAGACACATTTGTCACAATGGATGAGGCAGGTGCTAGCAGCATATAGTGAGTAGAAGACAGGAATGCAACTACATATCCTTAAATGCACAGGACAACCTCCTACAACAAAGATGCGCCTAGCCTCAAATGTTTATAGTGCCAAGGTTGCAAAAGGAATTCTGAAGCCTTCCTACCGATCTCAAAGAACCATCATGAAACTGACCTTAAAAAAACTGTTAGAAATAGGGTTGTCAGATAAAACACAGAATGCTCAGTTAACTTTGAATTTCAGATAAACAACAAATCATACTGTAGTATAATCATGTCTCAAATATTATGTATGAAATATACTGCAAAATGATTCTTTGATTATCTGAAATTCAAATTTAGTTGGGTATCCTACATTTCTATTTGTTAAATCTAGCAGCTCTAATTCAAAAGAGCTAGATTCCACGTTTTGAGAAAGAGTATACAGAAATAATAATTTTTCAGCTCCCTCCCAGCCTTTAAGAAAGGAGGAGTTGTTTATTTTTGATTGGAAGCCAGGACATTCATCGGGCCACATTTTACAATGTGGTAGAGTGGAGCCTGGCTTAAAGATAGCTCGAAAGCAGGCCACTCTTATTTTTCCTTCTGCCCCAGCTTACAGGGCCAGCTGCCTTGAATTGAGCTGGCCACGTCCTGTTTTCTCTGCTTCACATCTCTACATGGCAGCTGAGGAAGCACCTCAACCAAGGGCTATCTTGATTCAAGGGATGGGAAGCAGAGGTTCTTGAAATCTTCAAGAACTTCTTAAGCCCTGAAATCTAAACCCATTTTCTGAATACGTCTTGACCAGAAAGACCTATCTGGAAAAGTATATACAAAATATTTTCCCTCTCTAGCTATTTTCCTTTCCATATAGTTACTTCTGTCAAAACTCTGGGGAAAAGAGGTGAGTGGAAGAGTGAGTTAGGCATTTCTTGAACCTGAAATGCAATACCATCTACTAAGACCCTAAGTTCACCATGTACTCTTAGTATGTAGTTAGGGGTAGACCAGAGAGTCTGAACATATTCCCTTCACTAGATAATTCTTATTGATTTTACAGATGAGAAAAATGTTGAATAGATAATATTTGATTAAGTGCTGTATATACATTATTATAATTCTCTAAAAAGCCTTGTAAAATAGAGTATATTACTATTTCTATTTTTCTAGGATAAATAGAGACTTAAAGAAATTCAATAGCTTGACCAATGTCTGACACCAAGTAAGCCATTGTCACAAGGTTTGAATCCAGGTCTGTTCATTCCAAAGTCGATGCTTTTAATCACTAAGCCTAAAACTTGTACACATGAAAAATTATCAAATCATGATGAAGTTCAAGTATTCACTTCTAAATCAAAAGCAATCAGAAAAATATAATGTCTATATTCGGAGAATATTATATTCACTGATAG